CGCAGGCAAGGTCAAAAAGCAACCCCACACAGGTGCCCAAACCGCCCTGTCGCGGCCTTTCGCAAAACAATCCCGGCTCCCAAAACAGGTCAAAAAGAAGCCCCACAGAGGTGCCCAAATAGCCTTGCCACGCCGCAAGTCGATAGACTAGGCTAGCGCCCAAACGGGTCAAAAGAAACCCTTCCACGGCCTCTCTCCGCTCGCAAGCAACCCAAACAGGTCAACAAGAAACCCTACACAGGTACCCAAACAGCCCTGTCATGGCTTTTAGCAAGCCCGCCACCCAAACAGCCCTGGCACCCAAACAGGTCAAAAAGATATCCTACACAGGTACCCAAACAGCCCTGTCACGGCCTTTAGCAAACCCGTCGCCCAAACAGCCCTAGCACCCAAACAGGTCAAAAAGAAACCCCACAGAGGTGCCCAAATAGCCTTGCCACGCCGCAAGTGGATAGACTTGCCATAGGGACGCACAGGCCGCAAGTGGAAGTTTTGCCGCAGGGGCCCTGCCCAACCAAACGGTACTGTTTGAAACCTTGTACCCCGGAAGCAGTGCCAATTGAAACCCTATACCCCGGAAACAACTCTGAAGAAAAACTTCCCAACCCAACGGTACTATTTGAAACCCTGTACCCCGGAAACAGATCCAAAAAAAACCTACCGGGTACAAAAAAACCCAGTCCATGACCAAATAATACGTATTGTCTTTAATGTTGGATCTTAAAACTTATACTATTAAAAAAAGGGGTCCCCCCCCTCCCTAGCGCACAACCGAGGGAGCCTGAATAGAATCCCTACCACCAAATAAAATAATAGCAGTAGTAGTCGTCGTCGTCGTATCAGTAGTAGTTAGCAGTAGTCAGTAGTAGTTAGTAGTAGTTATTTGTACTACAGTATAGTATTGCAAGAAGTAGTAGCAGTAGTAGTCGTTGTTGTCATAGTGGCAGCAATAGGAGTAGTAGTAGTAGTAGTAGTAGTAGTAGTAGTAGCAGTAGTAGTAGTCGTGGTGGTGGTGGTGGATATTTTTCCGAGGACAATTTTTAGTATTCTGAAACAATTCGTGCTATTCACTTCCCCTGGGCTCGTGTACTACCCCCTTGAACAATTGTTTGGAGCAATGAAATCGTTGAATTTGAATAAGCGATTTCTAAACCGATTTCCACGTCCGTCAGAATTCCATGAATCAAGCAAACCTCAGGAGAGCTAAGTAAGGATTTTAAAAGAAAGCAATAGCAGAACAATAGAACGTTACCAAAAAAATACACCCTGGCCCTGGGCGAAAACACGTTTTACTATTCCCACCCATTAAACTATTCAGGGTGTGAGAATAATTTGGCGAAAACTTTTTGTTATCCCCTCCTATTTGACTAATTAGGATCCGACATTATTATAATACAGATTGATGGAATCTACTGCCATCTGAAGTGGCATGCTGTCTCACCTGGGCACAGAGTGATTTGATGCCTGCAAACCAATCAAGACAACATAACAGGACATCTTGTTTCCTCACCGCTGGGAGGCAACCATCCACTGGCACTTCCAATGGCCAAACCACTTCTCTCTCTCTCTCTTGCAAAAATCATTGTCACCATTGAGCTGTCCCTCCTAGCAGCCTAGCATGTGACTGACGAACTTGAAAGGACATTTGGAGGGGAAGAGGCCACCCTTACTGACGATATGCAAATAGAAATAACTATACATACTATACCTGGATCCTCCTTTGGGCGGAAAAAAGTGCCGGACCTCAATCCGGCAAAATTTTCCGCCGGATTCCGAAAAAAACGCCGGAGACCTGAAAAAACATCCGGATCCAAGATTCTGAAAAACAGAGATGATAAAAGGCTGGATCATACACAAGCAAACTGCCTTTGCGCCACAAGTAGTTTTTTCTGGAACACACTCATTCCACAACCCAGCACTGGAGCCTTCCCGTTCCCATTGCCCTCGCCCATCTTCCGAATGGCCTAAGAGCAGAACCATCACAAAATATAAGCAAACTTGTGCCCAAGCAAAGACTTCCAAGAAGAAACCAAGGAGTATGTGGCAAGGAACCCCTATTTCTCTGCACCCGTGTCTCTAATTGTTTTTTACAAAGTGGCTCTCCATGATTCTTATATGGTTTTAAATTGTTTTTTATTGCTTGCCTCAGGACGGCCCCGCCAATAAAGTAGCAGCACTCATGGTTCCTGTCGAAACTCTTAGTTGAAAAACTTTTCAAAATTCAAAAGACTGAGTCCAAAAAAAATACGCCGGAGTTACGGGAAATTACGCCGGAGTTACGGGAAATTACGCCGGAGTTACGGGAAAAAACGCCGGAGTTACGACGTGCAATTTTTCTTAGCAACTCTTTGCAAAACATTGAGATTCTGAACAACACATGTTCCACAGCCCAAAACTTGTCCGGCAGGCTCTGCAAACCTGCGCAACTAGAACTAATTATATCCCAGCGCCCCGACATCCTGAAACACTGGGAGTACATCTTTGCCTATGTTCTTTCAGCTTAGGTACACCCACTTGGGTCTTTCAACACGTGCATCGCACTGTACCAATTTCATCCGATTTCACTTAGAAGATCACCTAAACGGATCTGATTGATCCAGTGTGAACCATGCTGAAACCGGTGGAATGAGAAAACAGCGGAACAGGCAAACGAGCACACTTTGCAAGCAAATCATTACCTTCAAAGAAATGCAAGCCACAAAGAATGCAAAGCCTTGAGAATCCACATTTCAAGTGACTTGGAAAAACCGCCGGACCAAATCCAGAAAAACGCCGGAGTTGGAAGTCCGGCGCCGGACCCTGTAAAAGTGCCGGACTGAAGATCTAGGTATAATATATATTATGGTATTTCTAAATTAATGACAATATAGACTTACGTATCTTGCATATATTTGAATATGTTTGAACGAAGCTTTCTGATCTCCCTTTCAAAGAACTATGAACTATCTCATACTATCTGAACTATATATCTCATGCTATCTGACAAATTGCTGAGATCCCCTCAGTGCCACGGCCGATCCTGAGGCAAGCTGGCAGCGGGCAAAAGCAAGGGCTTTTCCTGGCCGTTTTCAGAAGAACTAGCCTGTTTGTAGAGGGAAACGGTCATCCAGCGGGCCATGCCATCCACTTCCATGATGATTCTAGGGAGTGTACAGGTACCTCGTACCATCTCGTACCTTTGCCTCCGTACCATCAAAAGGCGAAACCATCCGTTCACACAGCAAAAACACCGCAACCAGCTCCACACCGTGTGACATTGATTCGGGATAATGACGATGAGTCCTCCCCGATGAAAAGCTTGTTTCTTCTACAACCAGTGTATCCAAAGCTTGTATCAAAATCGCCCAAACCCAACGAGAAGCGGCTGGCACTGCCACTGCCATCCACCGAGCAGCGCGCGATGGCCCGACACCGATGACGGTCCTTCAGCTTCAACGAAACCCAACCCGTCTCCGGGCCGTGGCCCTCCAGCCGTCGGAAGCGCAAACGCTCCCCTTGAAGCTCCACTTGGGCAACTCGCGCCCCTGGCAACATCTGTTTGAATGTGGGGAATTGAGTAGCACGGTAACTGCATGATGGAAAACGTCCGGAACGGATGCCACTGGTGTGTCTTCTGGTTACGGAGTTTCCGTTGCAAAAGCCCGCGGTAAAACGGTAAAACTGTAAAATGTGGAGCACACACAAGCGCGGGGTAAAAGGGTAGAATGGTAAAGTTGTTAAAATCCCGGGTGACAAAAGCGAGGAGTAAAACTGGAGTGAGAAAGTCTCACATGACATATATCCGAGGAGTTTGATAGAAACTCGAACTCGGAGCGCATGGAGGTGTCATAATGATCAGTCTTCCTCAGGGCTTTTTGCTGGAGGCAGGTGCTTTGGTGCCGCTCGTCGCGCCGAACCACCAGGACTGGCCTGTTTCGAGTCGCTCCTTTAGCTTGGCAGATGAAAGCTCCACCTCGGCAGGAGAAAGCCCCTCCTTCTCCGGACCAAGTCACAGTTGCACACGAGACAGTCACTGACTCACAAACACAGTCAGCTGCAGGCACTGGCCCACCAGTTCTATCAGTTAGTCTCCTGTCAAATGATCTGCAGCTTAAATTCCCTCCGCCGCCCTAGACTGGGGTCCCCTTCTCTAGCGCACCGCATGCAATGAGATTGAACAAAATGAGCAAACCAAACATCAGAAAGCCACTCCCTCGGCCAAGCAACGCCTTGTCTCACTACGAGGCCTCCAGTCTGCTCACCACCCACCACAGTCCAATGTGCCATGAATCAGTAGGCAATGAATCAGTAGGCCTCTCGATCAATCAAACACTCCAATGGTCGGAGCAGTGTAGATTGAGTCAAATTGACACTTTCTCACAGGACTCGGCCAAAGACGGCGGTAAACATGTGACGCCTCAAAGCCGGTTGGGTTGCTTAAGAGACAAATCATGCTTCGGTCCTTGGTACTGGTCGCGTTTTGGGGTAAGAAAGTTTGAAAGAAACACTTGGAGCCGGTTTTTCCACCACATGTGCCTCGACATATTTCAACCATGTTCAACATAGCACTCCCAACGGAGATGAAAAGGGGCTGGCAATCCAATTGCTCTGAATGGAGGTTCTGGAGGCTTCCCTTCATTGGAAGGTTCCTGGGCTCATCTTTGCATCCTTGAATTGGACATCCTTCCCTGGAGCCGAACAGCCTCTGGATGGGAAAGGAGCACAATCTGGGGCAGAAACACTGCTCTGCGGATCTCTCTCAGCACAATTCCCCTCCACAACTGGGCAACACATTTCCTTCAAATCCCTTCGAATCCATTGGATAATATGATAAATATGTATACTCTTGATTACAGTAACCTACAAGCTAAGTACAGTAACTAAACCCACCCATCTGGATTCTAAAAACTCTCTATATGATGGCTTGAACTACCATCAAGTCGTCTACATTCGTAATGACCATTAACAGGCCAGGCCGGGCAGGCCTCAAACATGTTAGTTGGTTCGTCCAAGGCCCGGACGGGTCAAGTCCAAGTCCAACTCCTGGAGCCCCAGGCAGGGGAATTCCAGCCTCGAGTCGACCGGTCGAGTGTCGAGTCGACAGTGATGGGGCGGCATCTGTGTTGACAACGACTTGGTTCGGCCTGCTACTCTTCACCAGTGACAGCCGATGTTTGCACCACAATCTATGCCTATAATGGAGTGATGCACCTCTCAATGCTACTAGTGGTAAGCCGGCAAAAGCTCAAACGTTCAACAGAGGGGTAGCACCGGGTAGCACCATTGTTGTTTCAATCAAGATCGGACATGCTTCCAATTGGCATCTCAACCGACGCATCGACCTGGTCATCCTTACGCCATGACTAGGTCCATGCCGCATCCCCAGGGGGCCTAGCAGCACCTTCTGGCCCAATGCCTGCGCGCAGAAAAAAACCGTGGATCGGCTGCACCGGGCTGATCGAGCCAACCCTGAGCCAACGAGGCCAAGATATACCGTGCTCCTACCTCCGTGTCTGAAGCGCCTGCGGACGAGGGGCGTCACCAGTCCCGCGCACGGCATGGTGCGATTCTGACTGCCTTTAAAATCATCCTCGCTATCTCCCATTGCTCGTTATCCACCTTTCCTTGCACATTCCTCATGACAGTAAATTTTCCACGGTGTGTCAGAGATACGGGTTGACAAGTTGAACAACATTCATGGGGTCACAGTGCCCCCCAGGGTTTTCCAGAGGTAGCTGTGTCCCCGTCCCTCCTTGACTTGTGATGGCACAGGAACCTGTCACCTGCAGTTGCTAGGACAACCGCAGTTGTGAAGTTAGGCACTTGTCATGGCACCCTTCTCCTTCAAGGTTCTGACCATGTGGCAAGTGTCGAACACTTTGACTATGAAACATGGTGGCACTAGCTGTGGACCTTAGAAGCCGAAACTTCCAAAACCTCAAGGTCCGTTCACTGAACTCCTTCTGAATCCTGTCACCATGACAGCCGTCTGTGAAGGCCTCGCTTGTGCAAGTCCAAGAAAAGGTTTTTTGCTCCAGGGCCTTGGCTTTGAAGTGCCCTGGGTTTGTGCCACTAGAGACCGACGAAACCGACCGATACCCCCTTGGCCAAGCAACGCCATCTTCATCAAATCGCAAAAACACATATGAAAAAAATCGCACATGTCGAACCATGGAACTCTACTGGAAGAACTACAGCAAATACGGATATAAAACTGATGTTCCAACATGTTCCAGCCTATATTTTTTTTGCGGTAACTGGTGGTGGTCATCTGCACACCCCTGTGAAGATATGCGGAAGTGCGAGACTGCAAACAACAACAGGCAAAAAGTAGTTAACGATTTTGCAGATTGAACAAAAATAGCGGGCACTCTTGTTTTCGTGGCTCTTTGAGGGTGAGGGGTCAGCAACACGCCTTCAACGTCAATGTTTCAATTGAGAAACGCAATCACGTTGAAACCCCGATTTTGAGTTTCACTGCAGTTGCATGGAGTTACACGAGTTTCCCCAACCCATCGGTTCAAAGCAACCACATCGGACTCTGGAGCTTCCTTGTTGAATCTGAAGCCATTGTTGTTTGCCACACGCACACACACACGCACGCACCAGTTAACCCGGCATACCTTTGCAATTTTTGCAAAATGCTGCGCTCGAGACCCCTATGGTTTCTGGGCGTGATATGGAGCTCGCAATAAATAAACAAATCCTTCCCAACGTTGCACGATAAGGAACACCATTGCCACTGAGGCACCAAAACGCAAGCGTGAAGGTAGCACCTCGGCCCACTGGACCGGCATGTGAAGCATGGCCAATACTTGTTACCCCTCAAACTTGTACGGCAACTGGCCCCCACAAACTGCACCACGGAGTTCTTAGTTCCGCATACATTTTTGTTCGCACAGTGGCGAAAGGATTGAGGGGGTGAACGAGAAGATAGTGAACAAAATGAAGTTAGTTACAGTAAGCCACGAATTGAGGAAAGTAGTAACTCTGCACAGGCCCTACCTGAAGCGATTGCACCAGAAAAGCACTGGGAAACAAAAGCAAAAAAAGGTGTAACACATGACGCGTCATCTGAATGCAGCATACTGTTGTACCCGACATCTTTTTCCCTGGGTAAATATGGGCAAACACAGCAAGGTGGCAAGCCTGTTGAGAAAATCGTTTGTAAAGTTTTCGGCGCCGGCGCGTCGCAGAACATTTCACTCATGGCAGCTGGCATGTGCGTGGCATCGTGTGTACATTTCAAGATGAGCAAACCTGCAGTCAGCTGAAACAACGTGTGCAGGGCGGGACGGTTTCGGTGTTCCGGCAATGTTTCGCATCGCCCGCAGCGGGGCTGACAAGTCCCCAATCTCCCATCTCTTGATATGACCTGGCGAACAAATGGTTCATCTACTGTCTACTGCACCATGTCGGAAATACTTTTTCCTCCCCTCCTTTCTCTGCATTATCATTGAACGATTGGACTTTGAGGACACCCATTCTCCTGAACATCTCAACACCGTCAACACCCTCGCGTAGCTTGTCCTTGCTTTAAAGCGTTCACTGGTGCGTTGTTACTCCCGCCTGGAACGATTCTTGTATGCTTCACAAAGCCTTGCTGTATCCAACCTCTTGGTGGATCAAGTCTTCCTGAACTGCGACCAGGAACTTCAAAGAAAACTCCTCCAAAATCACTTGCCATCATCTGGGCTGGAACTTGTCTCTTCTCCTTCGAGAGGGATTGCTTATCCTGAGCGCACATCTCAATCCATGCCATGCTGCGCTTGGCCAGCTGGTGTCTCATACCGTATATAAAGTGCGCAAAAACAACAACAACCACAAAACTTCACGTCACTGTCCTCGTGCTGACATCTGCTGGATTGTACTTGGTATTGGCCCATGCCAGTTGGACCCAACCTTTTGCGTGCGCCCTTGCATCCAATCCTAAATGACAAAACGCCCTGCTGAGGAAAGGCTTAATTTCAAGCTGCACTGATTGCACTGATCCACCTCAAAAGAGTGCGGAGTGCCTATTTGTTTGCTAATCCTTCCACAAGAAGACTGATGGTAACCCAAACCTCCGCCTTTATGAAGATGTTCGTGGCTTGCGTACGCAATGTCAGCTCAAGAAGGTCAAGCCCGATGCAGTGCTGTGCCTTGACCACTGTCAGAGCGTCTAAGCGGCCGCCTGTTTCTAAACAGCGGTCTTTGGGGCGTGGCCGTCCCTCAATCAAAGGTTGCCACCACGTCGTGAAAGCGGAAGATCAGGTGCCCTCATGGTCCATGGTGGTTCTTGATCTCACCTGCTCTAAATTATCTAGGCTGGCTTGGGCAACTCTCGTCTTCAAGTTTTGTTTTATGTAGATCCGGCTTTCCAAGCCTCAGCGCCTTCTTTGTGAAGGCTTTCTAGCCCATTCGCGCTAACTTTCCCGTTCCTGCTCCTTGCTCATTCGCACTAACTTCTCCTCAGACTGGTGCAAATCTTCACTCTACCTCTAAGCATAATCTATTCAAATGCCTCTTCACCAAGCCAGAATTTCCTCTTGACACTCATCCTTTGATGTACAGCTCCATGGTCGCGCGGCGGCGCCTTTGCGCTTCATCTCCTGGCTCTCTGCTGGTCTGGTATTGTGTACGGTTGGCAGTAGAACCGTGGAAGAATCTATGCCTTTGCTGCCTTCAGGCTTTGTTCTGGGACAAAGCCAACATGTTTTGTGTTGCCCACCTTGCTCATCATTCTCAACCGTTGAGAACCCCGTGGCCGATGTTTAAAGCCCGCGGAACACTCTGCACTGATTCTAGTCCAATGCTTTCCATTGTCACTCTGGCCCTTGCCTTTGCCCTTCGGCTCTGACCTTCTTTACTTTCTGCTTGCCTTTCCCTTTGCCCCGGAATGTCCTCCACAGCCAACGTGAGGAAAACCACTCCACCAGGATGGCACCAGGATGGGCTTTCTTGTCAGGGTGGATTGCTTCACGACTCCATTGTCAACTGGAGACGCGTCAAGAGTCAAGAGAAGCAAGGTCCTAGTCAAGAGCCGATTTGCTCTGCGGAAAGCTTGGATACAGGCAGCAGGGGTTTGGGCAACTCCTCGACCGCGTTGACGCTAGAAGCTGTTCCCGCAAACAGAAACCGTCTTTGGCTCGAAGCTCTGGTCGAACCAATATCAAACGTTTGCTCCCCTTGAGGAGGCTTGCAAGTCCACGGCGTCAACTTTCTCTAGAGGCTTTTGGCCCAATGGTTGCCAGAAGTCGAAGCCACCAAAGAAAACTTCCATGCTATCAAACGAATCGGAGTTTTGAGTACCCTGCTAGAGGCTGTACCCCACGAAAAGTTAATCTTAACAATTGCAAAAAACCGCACCTCGTCTCTCTAATCGGGTTGCAGTGTTCTCCAGGTACCGGCCCATGTGGCTCAAAACATTTTAAAATGAAGCTCGCAGCCCGCCAACAAAGCACCGTTCAAACTCATGCACCGCACCTGCAGCTTAATTGTTCGGCATACTAGTGCACAACATTGGATGAAGTGGCGCACAAGCTTGTTCTTATCAACAACCATGGGAAGAACTGCAAAGTGAAAGCACATTGTCATATAGACCCCGTCCAGGCCAGCAAGCCGGAATGAGAATTCATGATCAGCGGGCAAGCTCTTGAGCAACTCATAGCAACTCGTTTTCAGCTCGTGCTCACGGATGCTCAGCGCCACTCTCAGCGGCATATCCTGCCAACTTGTCCATGCAATAGGCCACTGCCAGCTACACTCATGTCATCCTGTCTTAGCTTCTGTTTGCCGAACCAACCGAGCGCTCATCCATCATTGGCTCTTCAACGGCTGTCGTATTGTAGGCTAGGCCTCAAGCCTAGGACTAGCTTTCTGGAACTTGCGACCAGCCACTGGTCTTTGAATTCGTCCTCTTGGGGCCAGTGGACTCCACCTTTTCCTTCTGACCACTGGTCAAGGAAAGGAAAAGGACCTTTCGCCAAGCATTCCAGCTGGCATGCTTTCAGCACCGCCATGGAAACATGGAACCTTTGGGACATGTGTGTCATTGCCTTGGGCAGGGCTCCGCCGCCCGCTACCGTCCGAAAAGTGAACGGTCCGCCTTTTGACCCCTTTAGAGCCACTCAGCATCCATGTGCATTCCTTATAACTTATACTCCTTGATTTGTGCACAACCAGCTTGACACTTCTCATGGTTTGTCCACGTCATACTTGCCTTGCACTGAAGCATCTATGCTTTACTTCGGCAGAAGCACAGGACTCGGGAGGCAGTGTGAGGTGGTTGATCAGTCACGCAAAATACAGCATCACTGTCCACCTATTAAAAAACCGGCCCCCCCTATTAAGAAAACCTCGGTCGCATTTGTTTTCCTGAAATCGGGGTGGTCCAAAATAGGGTCACCTGGGAAGAGCTTCAAAACCAAAAAGTTACCCACAAAAAAACTATATAAAATCATTTAGTAAACTCGTATCAAAAATTTCAAACAACCTCCAGATCGAAGGGTCTTTCTTCTTTTTCCCCTACAAAAACCTCTATTGGTTGTTTTTGGAACCTAATAATTAAACAAAACTACACCAAAATCGGTCATGTTGGTAGTTTAGTAGCTGTTTTAAAGGCAGTAATGTAAGCACAAATATAAACTGTATTTAGGGGGTTCCGACATGACTTTCTTGAATTGGAGTCCGTCTTGATAGGTACTCGGGATTAACGGAATGCCCAAGTAGAACTCATGTAGGGACAATGGAGCAGCAGCAATTTCTGAGGGAAGATCTCGGCAAGCAGAAACTTAAAGAAGACTGCCGGTAGTGATTGCTAGAAGACAGCTCCATATTATCAAAGAGCGCGACCAAAAAAAAGTAATCAGTAAGTCAGTATACAATAAAAGCCACCACATTGCATTTTACTACTGCACTTACCTATATCACCAAAATTCACACATCAAACACCGTCACATGACCCTTCATCATACGGTAGGTCATCACATTTTCTCATCACACAAATCAAAAAACACTGTGGAGACGAAAACGCACACACACATAAACGTATATATAATATGTATATCTAGAGAACACTATAAAAACTAAATATATACACACAGAATACCATAATTACACATGTTTTCCCACGCATACACCTACATTAATGTATCAGTCGTTTGCCCAATCTGCGGGAGGTGCCCCTCACGTGACTCTATGCAAGCCGATTCTTCCTGCTGATTTCGTCCGCAGCATCGGGGGTTGAAACATGTTTCTCCAAAATGCTGGAAGTGAGAGGAGCGTTCGAGAAGTGGGAGGAAACCTTATCCATCAATGACAGCCGCATCTCCGAAGCTGCCAGTTTCGATTTGAGGTACTGAGTGCAACTGGAAGGAAAACATCAACCTGCCCCCCACGAGAAATCACCACTTCATTTCTGCAAAATTCTGCAAGGCTTGGCAGTTCAAGCCCCCTGTTAGAAAACTTTCCTGGGCTGCCCCAACGGCATGGACCTGTCGCAGGGGCCGCGTGTCTCAAACAGCGCAACAAGTTTCAGGCTTAACATTGCTCAACCTAGCGACTTTTGCCATCAGTCGAACTGTTATAACCTGAGAAGCTGCAAAACGAAAACCAGCGCTTTTGTGGGGCTGATTCGCAGTGCAAAGCCGGGAAGAAGCTATTTCCACTGTCTGTGAAGCCTGATGCGCGCCATACCTGGGAACAGAATTGTAGCTACAAGACCTTTATTTTCAAGGTGGCCTGAACAGAGTGTTTTAGGGCAGCAAACCGTGGTCTCAGG